AGTGATAGTGGTGCTGATAAGAGCAGACACCACTAGCACCTGGGGAGTGGCTCCATCTATTGGTGGGGAGCAGCAACGGGTCCAGCGTCCCTTGTACATGAGAGTTTGAACCCTGTCTGAAAAACATCTAAAGAGCCAAGGGAGACACCTACCAGCATTGATTGCCCTGGTGTCCAGGGGATTGACTGAACAGGGGAGGAATCTCTTCACCATGAGACTGGCGCCAGATCTTGCTAGTACATACTAATTCCTCCCCCTCCCTATCTCCCCTTTTGCATTACCTGCTCGAGTGCAGAATGAATAGGGAAAACTGAAAAACAGCAATTGAACCAATCAGGCCTGTTTTAGGCACCTGTGTACCAGTGGGTGGCGACTATTGAGTTTGCAGGCGGTGGGAAGGGGTCAGGGAAATCTGAGAGGGGCCGCAGCAGGATGGAGGGGTCAATCCTGGTCCAATCATGAAAGTGGAGGTGATAGTCTCTTTCTATCTTTTCCCTATTTTTTCCTTCCCCCCGCTCCCCTCCCTCCCCCCCTTTCCTCTGTATTTCCGCTATCCAGCCCCCTTGCTCCCCTCCCAGCCAGTCTTTGCAGAAGGATTGTATTTGTATCTTGATTTCCTTTCTTGAATGCATAAAGGTTATTTTTTCTTGTATTTCTTCCCATTGCACTGTGAGCTCTGCCTGAATTTGGTGCTTGATTGTCTCTATGACAGTCGGCCCTTTTCCATCTCCCTGGTGCACCTTTTCCACCAGATCGCCTAGAGGACTGCTCTGCGTCCCACTGCGAACATATTCCTTTCGAAGGTACTTGTTTGTTCCGACTGCCAAGCTTCACACATGATTGATTGCCCATTCCACGGCCATGGGTTTGTTGTGCCTAACAGGCTCCATACTCGGTCCCACCATCTCCATAACCAGACCGACCCAGGGCCCTGTAGAAAAATGTGCTCAATTGTTTCTGGTCTCCTCCTTGCTAGGTATGAGGCAATACAGAGTTTGCACCAGGGAAGGGTCAGGCCCTTCTGTTCCAGAGAGGAACGGTCAATCAACCAGTCATTCGCAGGTAAGCAGCGGTGTTTTATTTGCCATTGTAAGGATGCGATCTTCGCCAGTGATGTTTTGTTGAGTCTGAACCGTTTGATTGGTCGTAAGGTGTTCCGTTCCAGGTTTAGGTGTCTTATCCAACGTTCACTTACTACATCTTGTAGGTTCAACTTTGGGCGCAGTAGGCGATAAGCTCCTTTGACTGACATTAAGTGGATGTGTTGTTTTCCTGTTCTACCTCTGCCTAGCTGGGTAGTCCTGACCCAAATGGCCGGATCGAAGGCAAGATGTGCAATCGAGGTATCAGGTTTGTATGCCCACCACTGTTCCTTTTCTTTTAGCACCCTGATTCGGAAGATTTCCTCTTCTTTAAACCACCTTGTTTTTTTCGGGGTTGTCTTGGCCAGCCTGTTTTTATTTATGATATTAAAGAGGCTCACCAACACCTCTCTATCCGGTCGGCCAGATAACACCACACTTCCTACTTTGTCTGTACATCCCCTGATCCCTACCCAGTCGCTTTCTTCCAAGGTTGGCCCTTTTCTTAGAATCCTTACCCACTGTAAAGGAATTGAGAAAATGATTTCCTCCAGAGCTTCACCAATATTGTGGCAATATCGCAGTCGCTCCCTCAGTTGAGTTTCGGTGATCCAGTCTTTTGTGTTTAGGTCCCAGATATCCCCAATTCTAAGGATGTCTCTGCTCACCCACTGGTTTTTATTAGATAAATGTATGGAGAAGTTTAATTTTGGGCCACACTTTATGAGATGGATCAATATCTTGCACAGGAATGCCATAACAAGGGTAATGGTCAATGGAAATGTGGCACCCCCCATCATACTTCAGAGATCAGTAAGGCAAGGAAATCGCATTGCACCTCTTCTATTTGTGATCATTATGGAAGCCCTAACAGCTAACATAAGACATCACAAAGACATTAGGCATATTCATGTCTCCTCTATTCTTGAGGAAGCAGTCCCAGTTTGCTCTCTCTTTGCTGATGACCTCTCTCTTATGGTTGATGCTTCACATGAAAATTTAGAAGTCGTCAAAAGAAAAATTGACAAATTCTCTCTGATATGAAGGTCAATTGGGGAAATAAAACACTTGGATGGTGGATCCATCATCAAGGTGTGAGACCCCCCGAACTTCCCCGCATTAAGTGGGTCCCTCATAACGAACCAATCAGAGTTTTGGGATTATCTCTGTCAGTCTCATGTAAATCCACCTCTACTAATGAAGGGATTCTACAACAAGCAAGGTTGAAACTTGATTTGTGGAAGGATAAACATACATCTCTTTTTGCTAGAACTATAATAATTAATAATGTCATATTGGCCTCTATATGGTATAAATCGGTTTTTTGGGCCTTGGACAAAGGTAATCTCAAGCTTTTCAAGAAAGAGATAGCGGTCTTCTTGTGGCGTGGGGATCACGAAAGATTGAATGTCATCAGCAGAGTTGTTTGGTTGTTCATTATCCAACCCAAAACAAAAGGGGGTCTTGGGATTATCGATCCCTATACCCAAGTTATAGCTCTCTCTCTCCAGTGGATCAAACGGCTTATATTCAATCCCAACACTCCTTGGTCATTCTTAGCCTTTGAACAGATAAAAAGGTTAGCTCCTCTGGTCCCTGGCCACATAGATCCCCTAATGTGGTTGGAGAACCTTACATGGTCTTTACCTAGAGGCTCTCTAGGGGGCCAGAATCAAGAGGAGATCTTAGATAGACAAACAATTAGGAGGGATCTTTAGCCGGATCCTTTTTGGATCACACTAATAAAAAATTGGAAAAAATGTCCATCCTAGATAAAGTTTCCCCGGCAAGATGGGAAGAAGTTTGTCAGCAGCCCCTTTTCAACAACACGTTTATTAGGGATGGTCAAGGATGTGTTCTGCATTGTATGGATGCCCCCTGGAAAAGTTGGATTAACAGGGGATTAATACGGGTCAAAGATCTATGAAATCAAGAAAGCAGAGATTGGCGTTCGGCCACGGACCTGCATGAGCGTGTAAGATATAACCATCATCAGACTACCGCTCTTGATTCAATAATTGACCTAATCCCCCTGGAGTGGGTCAAAATTCTACGAAGGGGCCCCAAACTTATTGAAAATGATTGGGTTGCGTTTCATAACCAAAAAGGTTTAGTCGGTAATATAATTGAGATCCATAACCCCAATCAAATTCTCCTATCAATCTTTCAGATTCAAGATGATGGCATTCTCAACCGGGGTCAACAGGAGGAAATTAGATGGTGCACATATGACCAACTCTTCAGGATTAGAGTACTGAAGATTGATGATAAGTTGCTTGTCTTCAGACCAAATACCCCCATCTCTCACCATACTGGGAAATGAGGCCACTCACATCCTAGAAAATTACACACCCTCATAGTCAAAGCATCTTACAGGATGCTCCGCCCCAGGGTTAACTTAAAGGATCGCATTGAAAAAGGGGGCATAAGAATCTCAATGTTAGTAAGGATGCGTTGAGAAGTACTGAGTCGTTCCAAGCTTCTAAAACTAGACCTGCCGAAATTGCTTCTCTACAGTGGCAAATCACTCATAGATGTCTTCCCACAAATTATTGGATTATTGATAGGTCTTCCCTTGAACAGAAAGGCATTCCCCTCCCATGGCGCAAGTTTTGTAAACAGTTTTTCCCTCCAAGCTCATCCCCGAAACTATAGAGCATATTTTCCTTCAATGCTCGGGATCAATCTGGCTTTGGAGATAGTGGGATACGATCTGGAACCAAATGAACACCTCTCACCCTTGGCCTTGGGAGTGGAAAGCCCTCCTATTGGAATCATGGCATCCGGACTAAGTGAACGACTTCACATTCAATATATTCCTAATAGGTAGGAGGGCGATCATCTGGGCGATTTGGACAAGAAAGTGTACCTTTGAAATGAAAGGTGCGCGACTGGACGGACCAGAATTCACCAAAACCATCAAACAGCAGATTCAAACTGAATTAACTATCAAATGGGAACATATTAAGGAAAAAATCCAGTTTCTATCAGTACATAACATACTTGCAACCGCACGAGCCGCACATTCGTGCGGAGTTCTGTACGGAGTTCCGTGCGGGGGTTGCCTGTGCGGGATCGTGCAGGTTTTTTATTTTTATTTTTATTATTATTATTATTTTTGGGAGGGGGAACGGGGGGGCGTATGACAGGAAGATGGGGATATGGCAAGGAGAGGGGGATATGGAGAGGAGGAGGAGGATGTGGACGAGGAGGACGACGAGGATAGCGAGGACGACGAGGAGGAGGTGTCGAGATGGGGGAGGAGAAGAGATGGACGGAGGGAAAAGAGGAAGGGCAGGAGGAGGAGGACGAGTGGGAGGAGGCATGGACGGCGAGGAAGGGGAGGACACGAGGAAGGGAAGGAGATGAGGAGGCATGGAAGATGAGGAAGTACAAGGAGGAGGAGGAGGAGGAGGAGGACGATGATGAACATGAGGAGGAGGAGGAAGAGGAGGACGACGACGAGGAGGAGGAGGAGGAGGAGGAGGAGGAGGAGGAGGAGGAGGAGGAGACGAAAAGGAGAAAGGAGGAGGAGACATGGAGGATGAGGAAGGGGAGGAGGAGCAAGGTGAGGCAGTACTCCTGTAAAAAAAAAATTCATCTCGCTTATAATTTTGGCTGGGGGCCTCAAACGCACCATTTCGACGCCGGCCTTTTATTTTTTTTCTGAGGGGGGTGACGGATCGTTCTCCGCACACGTCGTGCGCCGCACAGGATCGGTTGGGCGCGTGCGCCGCACGTAGGGAACCGCCCGCACGACGTGCGCTTGCATGTATGGTACATAATGAGATCTGCCACCATATTAATCAATTTAACACAAGTTGGTTGGGAGGTGACCAGGGTGGGAGGCTGGGGAAAGTAATTTGGGAAGGTGGACACACAAACGTTTTGGAACCAATTAAAATAAATTATCGGCTTGTCTTTAATGACTGGACTACTGTTGATCCCGCTATCCCTCCAAGGCCCTTCTCTGAATTTCCTGACTGCTTCCCCCACCCAAGTAATTGCTTTATGCCTGCTGCTTGGTTTGGATAGACATCCATTGAGTTGTAAGGAAGGTGTGTTATGATATAGGCTTCGTAAAGTGCTTGGTAGTCAAATTTTTTTGGCGCCCAGTGAGGGTGAAGAGGCACTAAGCTAGTTCACTTTTATGTCCTTCCTGATGGTCAGTGGACACCAGATCACTAGTGCAGGACTTTTTGGTTCAAATTTTCCTTGTATCCTAAGGGACGCTGGACCCGCTTTCCAGCAGGTGTTGCTCCCCACCAATAGAATGGAGCCGCCCGAGAGCCAAGAAGGATTGCATGCTCTTATCATTACTCCTTTCTGACTCAATAGGGAATGTTAAAAAAAAAAAAAAAACAAAAAAAA